CGACTAGGGCTGCCAACGTGAACGGTCAACAAAAAGCTCAACAAAAACTCTAAAGAACGAAAGAAAAACAGTGACACAAAACAAGCACAAGGCAGGCAATGGAAAAGAAAATTTATATATTTACAAAGTCAATTGCGGGTCATCCCCGCTTACACCCGGCCAAGGCCGATCAATACAAGAAATAAAAAAAAACAAGAAACACCTAAACGCCAAACGGCGAACAAGACAAGAAAAAATGCATAAACATCTTTTTACTCGGTGCCGTCTGCGCCACCGTCTGCACCAGCGTCAGCCTCTGGCGTCGCCGCATCAAAACTACAGTCGGCACGTGCCTCACGAGCCTTCTGACGCGCCCCCTCGAAAGCAGCTTCGGTCACGACGCCAGCCTCCCACAAACTCTTATATACATCACGTTGGGCCTCGGAAAAGACCCAAAGTTCTCGAGCCTGGCTGGAAGAAGTGGCTTGATCCCGTAGCCGCTAATTCTCTTCTTCTAAGGCTGTGATCCGGTCTGCCATGACCTGGGCGTCCTGCTCAACGACACCAATCCGCTCCTCGAGACTCGCTTCTCTAAAGGCCGCAGCATCCCTTTCCAATGCCCGTTGGGATTCATGCACGCGGATAGCTTCCTTCAACGCCTCGGCCCTCGACGCAGCATCCCTCACTTGAAGCTTCAATGCCGCGACTTCACCCTCCAACGCGGTCACTTTCCCGCTCATGCCGCAGCGGCCTCCGCCGCCTTGGCTTTGCCCCGGCGCTCGCACTCAGCTGCGACCCTCTTTACCGCCTCGAGCTCCTCATCCTTTCGGCGGAGCTGCTCCTCGAGAGCACTCGTCCTGCCAAGTATTTGCTGCATCTGAAGCCCCCGCCTCGCTAGCTCTTCGACCAAGGACCGGCTACGAGGATCATTCCTCAAGCGCACGTGCAACTCTCGGCACTGATCTCGGTAGCGGCGATACTTCTCCAGCGCCCGCAAAAATATCCCCGAGCGGACCTTGGCTCGACGGATGCTCTCCACCTCCAACAGATAAGACTGCAAAGCAAAGACAACGATTAGAATAAAAGAATAAACTTAAGGCAAAGAAGAAGCGAACCGACGTAATAGTACATACCCTCAAGCCCATCACGGCTACTTCATTCATCAGTCTGACATCCGTAACGCCCCTCAACAACGCATTCTCGGCCTCCGAGCATAGCAGCTCGAACTGCGGCACCAAGCTTTCCCCTTGGAGCAATAAGTTCAATTCCGTGGGAACCTCGATGAAGCGAGATCGCCCCCCTGCGCGCACCGCTGAATTGGTGGAGCCTTCCTGGAACATACGGACGTCGTCGGGATCCAAGTCGTATTCAGACTCATCCTCACCCCCTACAGCATCCGCCGCAGCCGCTGAAGGAGCGCTTGCCTCACCCACATTAGCAGCCGCTGAGGAACTACCTCCCGTCTCAGCGACTGGAACCCCCAATTGAGTCGCCGAAGCGACGGTATCATTACGACCTGAGCAACCCGGGGCAACCCCAGTGTTTTTCCGTCCTCAAGGGCAGGCGCCGCAGCCGCACTCCTCTCCGCGTCCGCCGGGGGGGAGTCCAAATTAATTACCACAGGAGGAGCCGGCGCGAACGCGACCCTACGCCTTATCAACGGCCTCTCCTCCTCCCCATCTGATGACGATTCTGCTCTAGGGCGCACGGCCCCCGACGACCCCTCATCTCGAAGCGCGGCCCGTACCGGAGAAGGAACCGCTGAAGATTCAACTGATGCCGCCCTCGGTATTGAGCACGACACAGGCGCCGCAGTAAGACGAGCGACTGCACCCGGCCGACGAAAAGCCAACTGAGGAGCCCTGACGCGGCGTGCCCTCCCTGATCGCAGGAAAACAAAGTTGGTGAATAAAGTTGAAACAAAGCGGAACAGAAGAAGAAATCAATTTCTTACCTGCCACGGGCCTACGGCCATGCCTCTCCCAGAAAGACGCCCATGTGCGTATCCCCACCGTATGGGGGAGTACGGCCTCGACCCACTCGCGTATCCAAGACAATGGGGCCGGCGGCGACATGTCGGCTACAAAAAACGACACGAGTTAACGCTCATGATCACAAATCATAAAGAGGGGAAGAAAAGGGAATTCAACCACTAAAGAACTTACGTGCATGGTTCCAAGCCTCTGGGAACCCAGTAGCATCCACCACCAGATGCTTGGTCCTGATATAAAAGAAGTGGTCGAAAGGGCGGGGATCGACCTCGTCATCCAATCTCATGACCAGGCCCCTCGACCCACGAGGGCACGCCTGAATCATGGTGCCACGGACTCTCTGGGGAGCGTAGAGACTAAGCACATGCTGCAGCGTGACCTCCCTACGGGCCAATTCCGCGTACTTGATGAACATTGCCAACAATTTGTAGAGGGAAGGAGTGAGCTGACCCGGGCACACCCCGTAATAACGGCAAAAATCCACCACCAACATTGGGAGCGGGATCTTGAACCCCAACCTGAAAGGATAGGCGTAAAAAAAGCAGTAACCCCTGCGGTCGGTGTGGACCCTCTCCTCGCTTCTAGCGAGAAGGATTTCTGCATGGGTGGGAATGACCCCCTGTTCCCGTAATCAGGCCTTCCCAATCTCCCCCATTAACGGGGCTTCATCCACCGGTTCCTCTCCACCGTCGACAGTGAAATCAATCGCCAGACCTCCGGGCCGAGGAACTACCTCGTCAACCGACGGAACTTCTCCAGTCTCTATCTGTTCTGCACCTCCCATTGCCGGAGGTGGCCCTTCAACTACCGGAAAATCCATCGGAAGAGAATCGTGGGAAGAACTGCCTGCCATTGTTGATCTACTAAAGACAAAGGTTATCACAATCAAAGGAAAGAAAGGAGAAGATGAATTAGCGGAATGAAAAAGTTTCCTCAGAATCTCTCTCAGATGAACAATGAAGATATGAGAAATGAATGCCTCAAACAAAAATTGTTTGCTCAAAAGTTATCACATATCTTATGAGTATAAAACAATATAAATAAATCACGGGAAAATCATAGCAAACCGTAATAATCCGTTGGACCGAATGAAGGAAACAAAAATTAATACTCAGGATTAGGGGGAGAAACATTAGAAACCTTTATTGATAATATTGGTTTGGTCTGCCTCTCCATGGAGAGGTTCAGAGCCTTACAATGGTGTTCCTTTTGCCCATAATTTTGGGTATTGTTGTCCCTTTTTTCTCTCTCAATAGTGGTCACGAAGAAGCCCCCCCTTTCTAGGGTTCCCTCTCTTGGTATTTATAGCTGTGAGCTTCGTGAGCTGGCAATAAGTGGCCGTGACCACGTTGCGATCTCGCCTTTATGGTGGCGGATAGGCCATGGCCTTGTCGATCGAACCAGATGCGGGCTGAACATCGTCAATTCTGAATGGTCGTGCCACTAATTAATCATGAATTAACTTAAAACGGGATTAGCCTCGTTAATTATCGTGGGGTCGAATTCTGACCCATACATAGTGGATAAGATATATAAATAATTGGGAAAAACCATAAATTAAGGCTTCTGACAATAAAAAATGGTCTTGACATTTAAACTTAATGTTGCAGTTCAATCCCTTTTTAAAACTTTGACTAATTACAACTGATTTTTGCAAATTTGGGTATTATATTAAGGGCTTATATATTCAGCAAATTATGTTTTAATTTGAAAAAGTCTCTTGGGCTTATGCCTCGCTACAAATACCGCCTCAACGCCGGGGCATACGCTCCGAATTACTGGCCGTACACTTCTCTAGACTTTCGCCCCCACCATCGCCTTTAGGCATTTTTGGTGCGCCTCGCCCCAGGGTTCATCCCAAAAACGCCTTTTAAAACACTGGTCAGTAGCAAATTTAGTATACAGTTAGGACCACTTATTTTTCTATTCAGAACATTTCCATCCAATTAAAATAGAGTCCACTTGCAATCCCTCCACTTTCTCGTTAGCTAGTTTTTAGTGAGTAACATCTAGAAATCACTAACCACTCAAGCTTATCACTTTAATTAAAAAACAAAAGTTGATATTGAGTATCCTTTAACTTTTCTCTATCGATTAAATAAGCAATTTCTATACTATATATCTTTATCATTGGACTAATACTATTTTAAATGAATACTACATTTGTGTGATAATGGTAGTAGCTACGTGTTGTTGTGGGAACAATTCCTCTTTTGGACTATTGGTAAATCATAGTCTAATGCACAGAGTTTTATTTGTTTTCTTTGGCAAAAGATACCATTTTCATGATTGGAGAACAATTTCTAGGCACCTTTTTAATATCCAATTATGTGTTTGCCGTATCAAAATTAAAGTTGTGCTAAATCTAATAGAGCAGTGGATTACAGAATTAAAAATGTGCACCAATTCTAATTGCATCCTAATCAGATCCCCAATCCTTGGAAGTTGATTTGATCAGCTTCTTATTATATTACTCTTTCCGTCCTAATTTATATGACGCTTTTTTAATTAGACCAAGAAAAATAATATTTTTCTATATTTTTTAATAATTTAACTTTAAAATATTTATTTTATTCTTAATAACTTACGGTCACACAAATATTTATGACTTATTTTAGACAATAAATTTCAAAAATCTTATTTTTTTTAAATTTCGTATTCAGTCAAATATCATTACGTAAATTGGGACGGAGAGAGTAGTACATATGGAGGAACTTGTTATAGAAAATGACACTGTATAGCCGCTCTTAAAATAATATGCGAAACATATATATATATATA